CCCCCCATTATAGGGCTCAGAGTTAGGGGCCTCCCAGGGCAGTGATACCTGACAGCCAGCAAGGAACTAGACTCAGGACTGGGAGAAACAAGCTTTATTTCAACAATTGAGGTAATACTTTTAACATGTTCTTGTGTAAATGCAGAATAGCAAAATACTGAGCAAGAAAATAAACGTTTCTCAGTTCTCAGACCAAGGACTTTATCTGCCGTGAGTTTGTTTTATGTGGAATTAGAGTTCTTTTGGAATGCTACCTAGAGAGGGTTAGTGTCCCCAGCTGTGATCCAGACCTGGCCTCGGACCACTGAGGACTGCTCATGGCACTCAGAGCACGGAGCGGTGCAGCCGTCGGCTCTGCACCACCTGCAGCCTTTTCTGCCGCTCAGCGAAGTTATTCTTCAGGGTCTGCTTTAGTGCAGGCAGGATGGCACGCTCCGCCCCGGGCATTGGGCTCAGGATCAGGCTGGCAGGGGCAGAGGGCGGGCAGCGGAGGCGTGCCTGGGAGCGGCTGCTGGGCAAGGCTCGGAGCCAGGACGTGCTTTCTGCTGTGTCCCACCCTCCTCTCCTTGCAGGTGCCCCACCCATCCCCTGCCCCTGGACTCACCATTTCTTAGAGACACCCTTGGTGGGGACCTTGGGGAGCTGCATGGCCTCCTGGTCCCTGGTGAAGGGAGAGTAAGCGGTGAGCCCCATAGAACTGGGCCCCCCTTCGTTGGGACATGAGCCACACTGGGCACTCACTTAGGAGAATTCAGGCCAGCCTCCTCGGGGGCAGCCTTGGATGACCTGTGGGTCCCTTCCAGCAGAGACCTGAGATGCTGCAGCTGAAAGGTAGGGAGAAAAGGCATGGTGGCTGAGGCTGCAGAGCCACCAGGGCTGCCCCCCACCACCCGAGCCTCACCTCTTGGGCCTGCAGAAGGTTGGCATTCCACAGCTGGCGGATGACCACCTCACACTGCTGAAGCGAGGTGGGTTTGCGCAAGTGGGGGGGCAGGTTCATCAGGCGGGGCATCCCTGTCACCTGCTTGCCCTTGTGCTGGCTGCCCGCCACGGAGGTTGCCTCTGGATTAAAGGTCTCCACTTCGTCTCTGAAACAGTCATTGCAGCAGCCCAGAGGTGGTCTGCCAGAATTGGTCTAACCACCCACCAACTCTTCAGGGCACTCCCCTCACCATGGGGCCAGTGTAGGGAAGAGGGGCATCAATACAGCCTCGGGATCCTGGTTGCCTTCTGCTGACCAGGATGCACT